TGACGAGATCAGCAAGGCGCAGGCTGCCCGCCCCGGCGGCGACACCATCTTCGGCAAGATCATCCGCAAGGAAATCTCTGCCAACATCATCTACGAGGACGAGCAGGTGCGCGCGGGCGCGGCGGTGCCGGGCCGCCCTTCTCGCGCCTCCCCAAAATGTCGCCGGGTGAGAGGGAGGGGGAGGATGGTGGTGTTGTGGCCCTCGCGCCGGGCCGGGCGTCCCTGGGCTGGGTTGTCAAAGAGCTGCTGCTTTAGTGCTGGAGGGGACGCATCCCCCACCCTGGGCTGCACTCCTCTGCTCCAGAGCCCGCAGAGGAGCGGGCTCTGCGAAAAGCGTGCTTGAAAAATCTGCTGATGCACGTGCGCCGCAGTGCGCCGGGAAGCAGGTGATCCAGTTTGATTCTGAGAAAAGAAAGAAAAAAAAGTAAAAGAAAAAAAAAAGCATAATCTGTAAGATGTTACCTCTAAGTTAGTACCTAGAACTAATTTTCTTTCTTTAATACTGAGTATTTTGAAAGTAAGATTTATTTGTAGTATATAAAACTATATATGTGCTCTTATTGAAGCGTGCTGTTTCTCTCATCTCAGTGACAATGCATTCCTTGGAATAGCGCTCTTTTCTTTTAATGTGTCACAGTAGTATTGTACCTGCTATTTATTTGCCAGAATGTTGGAAATGTGCACTGCATCCTCCAAAAAAGCCTTCTTTGTGGCATTGCAAAACATGATGTTTTCTTTCGTTCATCAAGGTGAAATTTACATCACTTATCTATTTTTTCTCCAGCTGTGCTGATTGCAGCAATGAAATCTCAATAGTGTGCTTGATTGAGAAATAGGCTACCAACTTTGATATGATGAGTAATTTGGGAGTAGCCGTGAATCCAGAATGTTTTCTGGAAGGCTAATTGCTTGCAGTGCTTGACTTGATTTTAGTTTAAAATACGCAGGAGTTTAAAACTACTTCTAATTCAGTTGACTGTAGTGACTGAATTTAAATCACTGTCTACTGCACTGAAGTCCTGCGCACTTTTGACAGGAAATACTATGTGGAGAGATGTAATAAAGATTAATTAATCATTAATTGGTATGCAGTGTGAAGGAAATGCAAAAAGTACAAAGTCTTTGTGGACTTAAGCCTTATCAGTGCTACTACAGCTGAAAAAAAGGTAGCCAAAACACCCTGGAATGAAGATTGTTATTGTGCATTTACAGGCCTCCTGTGATTACGCAGTTTTTTTCAAAATTTCTGCTCTTTGTCCCATAGAAATTGGTTGGCCACTCATCTGCATCGTTAAATTCTTTGCCTTAGCTTAGTTATTTGTCTCCTGCCTTAATGGACCATAGAAAATAAGGAATTTGGAAGGGGATGTTCTGAGGATTCTAAATTATATGCTAGAATTATGTGCTCTTACTTTGGAGCATAACTAGACCATAACTTGCAAAAGGTTTTGATGTTAAGTCTTATGAGGAGGCTGTGGGTTCCTAGTGGTTAGCAGTAGCAGAGTCTATGTTTGGTACCACATTGGCGTCTCTAGGTTGTGGCTGTTGCAGCAGCAACTTCTGATTCTGTGTCTTGCCACTTGCATAAACAGCACAGCTCCCTTTCCATCTCTCTTTGCTCTCTCGTCTACTTCTTTCCATACTGGAAATCTCTGACCTAAAATGCTCACATAACTTCTTGGCCTCATCACATGGCTTGTGAGATCCTGCTTCTGCAGGTAAATGTTTATTTCCAGATTGATTTAATGTGACTTGATGAGCTACTATGTGCGGTTTCGGATTGCTAGTGACTCTATACTTCCATTAGAATTAGTTGACAATTACCTACCTCCTGTTTCAGTGGCACCCTTTTCTCAGTTTGGATACGTGTGATCAGCTGGTGTGTTACCCTTATGTGTTAATAGTCAACTCTGTTAGTTCTTACACATATAAGAAAACAGTAAATTATGCAGCTATTTTTTCCTCATTGAAAAAACTATTACTTTTAAGTAATGCCCTCCAAAAAATCAACATTCTGTGTTTACACCAGCAGTTTTTGTAATTGGGTATTTGTGTATTGGAAGTGGAGAACTCTGGTAATGTGAAGAAAAATCAACATCTTTGCTTGCTTTTGGGCTATCTGGTTATGCTTCTGCATATGTTTATTGGGCTGTGCTGATTTGATTACCTTTCTTTCTGAGAAAAATAATTTATATTTTAACTATTTACTTTTTTTTTTCTCGCAGTGCCTTGCGTTCCATGATATTTCACCCCAAGCTCCAACACATTTCCTAGTGGTTCCTAAGAAGCCAATTGTCAGGTTATCTGAAGCAGAAGATTCTGATGAATCTGTAAGTATTGTGGAAGCTTTCTGTATGCCAAAGTGTGCCTGTAATTAGTTCAAAATCTACTAGACTCTTTCCCCATCCCCTCTTTTCCTCTTTGACACTATAAAAAGGCAAAGTAAGCTACTTAAGCTTTTCTGACAACATAATCCTTTGCCTCTAGCTCACAACAGCAATGGATTTTTTCAGACAAAATAGTTGTATATCATAATGCACACCTGAGTATATATTTTTGGTGAAAAAAATAGTGCAAATGTGATATACAGTCTGATACCTCTTTTCTTGGCTTACAATAAATGTTACTGATTCTAATATGGAGAATAGGGCTTGGGGTTTTTGGCAGGGCAGAGGTGAAATGCCAAATTGTTTGAGAGCTGCTGAATATTTAATTTGTAACTATAAAAACAAAATTCAAAGGTGTTGTAAACCCATGTAAGACAACATAAAGTTTCTTTTCCACCAGAATTACTTGCACTGCCTGGAGAAATAATGGGGGATTTAACCCCGAGACAAATTTAGGTTCTCTGATTCTTTTGTAGTCCATTACTGCCTAGCTTGAAAGAATTCCATAGCTCTTTTTTTTTTTTTTTTCTGTCTTATGCATAATCAGTCTTTGTAGCTTTACTTGGAAAGTGTTGGTTGCAGACAGACAGCAATTTGGAGAGCAGTGGTTGAATTGCAAGGAATTAGCTAACTGGCTTCTCTGAATGTTCTCTATGTTCTCTGCTCTCATTGCTTTTCTTCCCTTCTTCTCCCCTGTGTGTGTGTGGGTCCCCCTCTCCTTCCCCTCTGCCTTTTTTTTTTTTTTTTTTCCTTTTTTTTTTTTTTTCTCTCCTCCAGCTTCTTGGGCATTTAATGATTGTTGGCAAGAAGTGTGCTGCTAACCTGGGCCTGACCAATGGATTCCGGATGGTTGTGAATGAAGGGCCTGAGGGTGGGCAGTCTGTCTATCATGTACATCTCCATGTTCTGGGTGGCCGTCAGTTGGGCTGGCCTCCTGGCTAAGACTTTTTTTCACCGCAAGAGTTATTGCATGTATACAAACCACCACCAAATAGATCTATTACACTGCTCATCAATCTAGCCACTGTTAATGTACGATTTTTTTTGATGTGTGTCTGAAAGATAATAAAATTTCTGAATAGCAGTTGAAAAATAAAGATACAGCATAGAATGATCTGTCTTGTGTGTCTTACTGATGGAAACATTCTGCAACTTATACTCGGGGGGACACTGTTTTATGTAGAATGTTTTGATTTGCTAGCAACAATGTTCATAGGTACTGCTTTGCCCAGTCATTTAAAACCTGAAAACTCAACTGTTTAGAGACTAATCTTCGTGTCCTTTAGAAAGAAAAGTTTTTGAATATACATAGAACCAATGTAGATGGCCATTTTTTTAAAACAATAACAAAAACAAAACAACAAAAAACCTAACTCTGTGTGTGTAGTTATGAGCTTGCCTATAAAGGGCTATAGCAACATGGGTGCAATATGTTGGAAGCATACAACTTCTGTTCGAGCACTTCTTTCAGCAGCTGACCAATCCTTCCTATCTTTTCTCCTTAGAAAGATGTAAGAGAAGACAGTAGGTCTTAAGGGCAGCTGTGCTGTTTCATAACAGGGTGCTGTTTACTTCTGCATCCTGAATTTGGCAGAGGTGGGGATGTAAAATGAAATATATTAAACTTTCTGCAGTGCCTTGAGATGCCCAATTTGTTCATCTTACCAAGTACATTGCAGTGTGGTAAGTATACATTTGTAAAGTCCAGATTTTGTTGGGGAGACTTTGTTCTTCCATCAATCAATAGTAGTTTCTCCGTGCTGCCAATTGCAACAGTGGAGTATGTGTATTGTCCACTGTAAACAAGACATTCTTCTGCTTGAATTAAGAAGCCGTGGATGAGCAACTTTTGGTGCTTCTTCTTAACAGAAGCCTTTACTTGTAAGTTTATTGCAAATGCCTAAGAGAAGCTGTGATAGTTTGAGCACCCTTTTCTAGACACCACACTGGAGGTACAGAAGGAGTTGTGGCAGTGGAGGGTGGACAGAGTTATGATTTCTGTTTGGATCAAAAGCTTTAAGTTTGGCAAAGGCATCTGAATTCATTTAGCTTGTAGTTGTTTTGAAATTCTTAAGGTTCTGAACACTGAAGTTTTTAGTCTAAGACATGACTTGCACTGGAAGCCTAGCAAGTACATCTAAGGGTGTGTAGTTGAGGGAGGAGCAGGGTGGTACCAAGTGTGGTAGCCTGGGGCTGCGCTTCTGAATGTCCTGTGTAGAAGTGGACCCAGCTCCTCAGAGGCAGAGCATCACTGAGCTGCTGTTGGAACATTTGTTTTAAGAATGAGACATAACCAGCAGATACAGAGGGGCCACGGAAAAATTTAATGTCTGGGAAATTTGTGAGCCCAAGCCCTTGACTGATATTTAACTGTAGGAGGTAAAATGTCTGAGCTGAGAGTGCTGGTGGCTGCAGCTATTGGGCTCTGTGCACCCGTATGTGGGAGAGGGCATGTGATGTGTTCACTGACTTTAGTCCTCTGATCTCTGCCCTTGTCTGTGTGCCTTATACCACCACAGGTGTTTGTAAGTTAATGTGAGATTGATTGCCTCACAGCTGGATCCCATATGATATAAGAGAGAAGGTATGTGGAAGCAAAGTGACAGTTGAAGCTTCTGTCACTTCACTTGATTCCTAACTTGCAGAGATATATGTGTTTCAGGGAAGCTGCAGGTAAGTGTTTTTGAGTGAGGATGGAACCATAAAACTTGCGCAGGTTCACACCGAAGAGGTGAGCTTGCTAATCACTTTAGTTGTGTTTCAGTTTTGGGCCCATGTTTGGCAGTACCATGAAAAGTGAAGACTATAGCTCAGTTGTTAGAGAGGAATGCTAAACTTAAGACACCTGTCAACCCAGTGTGGGGAAAATACAATTGTGGCGTGATTTTCTTTTGCTAGTCTATGACTGGGAGACCACTGAACCTTCAGGAGATGGGGGAGCTGAGGGTTATTAATCCTCTTCAGATCTTGAAAAGACCTGTCTTTTGTTGCTAATAAGCTCTCTTGACATCTGTTCCTTTCTGCTTAAATTGCAATCTTTTACCTCTGTTGCAGGTCAGCTAGATAAACAGCTTTGGTGGTACAGCTGCTCTGTCTCCTGATTTTTTTAGTGGCAGTTGTGAAGAGAAATACATGAACTACATTACAGAGAGACTGCAGGCTTCTATCTTTCTTTGCTATAGTCGTATATGTGTGTGTGTGTATATATATATATATATGTATGCACATACATGTAAGTAAAAAAGGAAGGAAGTAGAGATTGGAAAGCAGAGTGATCCTGTATCACCCTTGAGCACTTCATTGCTGAGGGGTCTGTCGTGCTCACTGGAAGATGTCTGCATCTGTTGTGATAAGTTCCTTAAGTAATTAGATTAATTAGCTGATGAGAGCATGAAAGCAATCCGAGGACTTTGCTGTTATTTAATCTTTCAGGGAAGAATATGGTATTGGTTTTCTTGAAGTGGATGGAAACTAATATACTGTGTCTCCCTGAAAGTGCATTGCCGCTGTTTACTGAGTGAGATATTACACCTCTATTCTGTCTGTGTAAATTCCCTGTGTTACTACTAACTAAGGTGTTACTACTATGCAGGCTTTCTTGGGGTGGAAGCAATAGGAATTTTGATGAAGCTGGGTGTGAATTATACATTTGGAGAAACTGGATGACTACCACAAGTTTTAAAAGTGTGTGTAGCCTCTGCTTCTGTTTGCAGATGGCATTACCATTATTTGTTCTAACCAGAGACAATAAATGGTTATTAAAGATTGATCCATGGAAAAGGAGCTTGGTATTTAAAAATGTTACTGCAGAAAGCTTGTTGCTCACATGAATAAGATATTTATTTTTGTGGCTTTTTTTTTTTCATCTTCCTGTCTAAGGCTCAAAAAATGGAGTAATTAAGGGATGTGCCTATATTAGCTTTTCAGTTTGGATCCAGGAAAGTGAATCTTCAGGTTGTATTTTCCTTTGTGTTTTTGGAGTGGTTTGGGACTGCATGTTCTATTTATTTTGCATGAACTTAAAGGTGCACGGCAGATCTAATATGCTCTGGCCATAGATAGGCATTTGGTCCATGGGTGCAAACCAGAGGTGTTCAGAAGAACTCATAGCAAGATGCTGAAATATATGTAGCATGGGTGTTAGATCCTCAGATTGACTTTACCAACAGGTCCTCATTGGTCTGCACTATTGACTGTTGTAATAGTCATAGTCAAGGTAACATCCACAGGGATAGTGAAGAGGTAGGAGCAACAACTTTCTGCTGCACGGAAATTGCAGTGTAAAACAACTGCATCTGCAAACTGCAGGGAATGAAGTTGAATCACTTTAAAGGACCTGACCAGCTCATAGAGCACCCCAGAACAGTGAGCAAATCCAAGGTGTGAAATGCTAGGTTGGGTTTATTATTTTTGTCCTGTTTTGAATACGTGTTACACTAGCAGAGCGGTGAGAGGAAGTGCCTTGCCAGAGTCCGTCCAGGTTCTGGGGCTTAGAAGTGCGCAGAGCCCCAAACAGTCATCTGATGAGTGACCAGGAGATAGAGCTACACTAGACACATGACCTTTATGCATGTTTTTAAAATATCAGTTGCTGGCTGAGTTTTAGCAAATGGTCTTCTAGGTACTGAGCTGTCCAGACTTGCTTCTGAGCCAAGCTGTCCACACATACACAGTTCTTTAAACCTCCATGTTAGTTTGGATTGGCTTGAGTTATCTCACATTTTCCTTTGTCTTGTTTTTTTTTTTTTTTCTCTTTTTTAAAATTGTTACTATTTTCTTGTATGTTGGAACTTGTGAAGCATTGAATTTCAGGAATGCTATGCTAATCTGATTATGGCTGCATTTGCTGTGGATTTAAATAGACATTCTTTTTTTATTCTGTCAATTTCTTTTTATCAGGAAGAAACAGCAGTGGCAATTTCCTTTATCTTTTAACAGACAGAGAACGTCTGTAATAAACTTGTCAGAATTGTAATCTTGTTTTATTGTTATTTTCAGCTATTATTTTTCTTTTGCAAAATCTATAATATTACTATATTTGAGATGGTTTGTAGCTAGCCTTGAAGAAACTGGGGAAAAAGTAAGTCTTAGGCTGGAACTGTTGTTTTGTCTTTGTCTTGTCACTTTTTCTTTTTCTTTTTTTTTTTTTTTTAAGGACCAAATTCCACCACCTAGTGTATGCTCCTGTGCCTTGTGAAGGAGTTGAAGTCCATATCCTCTTTTCAGCTGTAATGTGCTATACATTGGACTATCTATAGCACTGCCAGGAGGAGAGGACTTGGATCCAAGCCTAAAGTACAGGCTTCTCTAAGTGTAGTTGCTAAAATTGTTGGTGATTTAAAGACAGCAAGCAAGACTTTTCCTGCGTAGGAAACATGGGGTGAAACAGTGATACTAGTGAAACTTACTAGATAGGATACATTAGGGGATCCAGTCATTTTGAAGAGAAAAGAGGGCAAGTTTTCTGAAGAATAAAAGAGGTCTTTTTAAAGAGGTCTCTAAAGGTTCCAGAAAAGAAACAAAGGAAAAAAGAGACTGCCTTCTCTCAATTGGTAGTAAAAGTGAAAAATCTGGAAATCCTTCATGCAGAGGGGGGAAAAAAAAATCCTAAGTACCCTGTTGGCTACTCTTTTGCAAACCAGTGACAGCTATGAATAAGTTACAAGCAGATGTGATCCTGGTTAACTTGCTCTTCCTACACATGATTAAAACAAAGCCTTAAAGGGGATGTTGCTGTGTACCTGAGGATGTGAGAGGTAAAGGGATGAGAAGTGAGGCTGGATCTGACCCCCGTGTCGGGAAGGATTAGGGCTGGACTGTAATGCTCTTTTGAAACTCATGTAGCAGTCAGTCTTTTCTTATAACTGTAATATCAGAAGCAAGGGAGGGTCAAATGTGAGAATACATATACTCCAAAGCAATGGGCTGTTTTTATTTTGCCATAGTGCTAGGTGTGTTTCTGTCAAACTTTGTCAATTTGAAGCTTTTTAAGGGTTTTTTTCCCCCTACTATGAAGAAGGTACTGAATTCTTTACAAACTTGCTAAAATATTGCATCGATAGTGGATGTTAACTGAAAGGGAGAAACTAGATGTGAGAAGCCACCCTGTGCTTTCT